CAATCTACCTCGCTGCTCTATTGTGCTCTGTCCCCCAGCAGCCAGTTTAGCAAATCGAGCTAATCTACTCTGGCCCTCGTCTATCACGCTCGACGCTGTCACCTGATGGGTCATTTCAGCTGAGCCATGCGGCTACCCCCGGGGTGCACAGGTTAGCTGGCGAAATCTCAGTCGCCTCGTATAAACCATCACCCAGCAGCCAGCTTGGCTCAGGCGCCTGATTCGTCCCTCACCTCATCACCCATGTTCCAGGGCTGCTCGTGCCGGGTACTGGGATGGGACTCAGGGGCTGCTAACCCCAGTTTTACCATTAGTCTGGGTGGCACTTTGGGCCGGTGGCGTCACCCGTTTCGCTGGGCTCCTTGGGCCTGCCTAGATCATTGACCCTTCAGGGCAGGGTGTGTCCCTCCCTGTGCCACCCGCAGGCCCCGGGGGGGGCTGAATAGCATGAAGAGCCAGCCGCTGGATTACTAGACTCCTTTGCTGTTAGGGGAAACCCCCTCCCGTCTCTCCATTTTGGGCATCAGTGTTGGAGGGCTGGCCCCCCGCCAGGCGAGGCCCTGCACACGGCCCTGTTTCCCCTGGAGCCCAGCCTCCGGCCCCCGCCCGCCCTAGGGCTTCAGGGGTCTTTATAAACAGGAAACAGGCAGAGGATAAAAATACATCTGGCGCCCACGGAACGCTCCTGCGTCGGGATTGGGCCTGGCGGCCCGGCTCCCCGGAGCCAGGGAGGGCGGAGGCAGGGGACAGCGCTGGAGCCCTGCACACGGCCCTGTTTCCCCTGGAGCCCAGCCTCCGGCCCCCGCCCGCCCTAGGGCTTCAGGGGTCTTTATAAACAGGAAACAGGCAGAGGATAAAAATACATCTGGCGCCCACGGAACGCTCCTGCGTCGGGATTGGGCCTGGCGGCCCGGCTCCCCGGAGCCAGGGAGGGCGGAGGCAGGGGACAGCGCTGGAGCTGCCCTAGGATCAGGGACGCTTGAGTCCAAGGAGGACCCTGAATGACACAGCTGCTCCCTGTGCGCACCAGAGGCGGGGGCGGGGGCGGAGAAAGCAGCAGAGGAGCTAACACTGTGTCACATTTACTAGGAGACCCAATTCGAGGTCCCCTCCCAGGGACACCTCCCCTGCTCTAACCACTAGGCCCCCACACCCCTTCAGGAAGAGGACCCAGGAGCCAGCCCCTCTCTCCCCGCCCAGTCTAACCAGTCCACGGCACGGCAAAGACAGCCGGACACACTCTGTTCCACCTGCTGCTGAAGAGGAGGCTGGGGAGAGCTGCCGGCCTGGGCGCACGTCCGGCCTGGGGGACATTGTAGGAGCCGGGAAGGCTGAGAAGGATGCAGGAGCGAGCAGACAGGCCAGGGCAGCTGGGCCGCAGGGGCAGGCCGGAGAACGGCAGTACCCTTGCCTGTCCCTCCATGCAGCGGCTCCAAGCCAAATGGCCAGCGGGGGGGGGGTACTCTGGGGCTGTGAGGGGAGACCCTGGGGCTGGACCTGAGTTTCGGCTCCCGGCCCGAACAATGGGCTCCTTTGAGCCCTCCCGGCGCAGACGGGGGCAAAGCTGCAGCAGGCCCGTGCACATGACTGCCCCACGGCCCTAAGGAGATCAGTGCGCGTGACCTGACCCTGCGGGGGGCCATAGGCCTTGGCGGGGACATTGCGGGCACCCCGGGAGGC